AAGGAGACTATTGGTGTAGAGGAGGACGAGGCAACAAAATTTACTACACAGACTACAGTGATGTGATCAGTATTAAAAAAACTGGTGAGTCATGGTGAATTTCCCTTTATTTAATTAATGGAAGATGTTAAAAAGTAGTCATTTATTTTTATTATTATTTTTTTTTATCTGTTTAACAGTTAGAAACAGGCCTGCTGTGACTCTGCATCCAAACTGGCCTGAGGTATACAGCGGAGAGACAATCACTTTGAAATGTGAGATCCCAGGAGGAGACACTGAGTGGGATTATGAGTGGGCAACAAGCAGCTCACATCAACCTCCAAACCAAAATGAATACAAGATTAACTCTGTTTCTGCATCACACTATGGGCACTACTGGTGTAAGGGCAGAATGAGAAGTGCACAACAGAATTCAACAATGTGGAGTGCATCCTTTGAACTAAAGATAGTTTATGGTGAGTGAATTATAAATGTAATGTGAATTGTATGCTTGCATTTATTAACAGACGATCTGCCCTTAAGGTTCTTGTTCTTGATCTCACTCTGAAAATATATTTTTCCAATAGAACGTCATCCTGTCCTCACTGTGTCTCCATCATGGCTGAGTCCTGGAGCCTCAGTAACTCTGAACTGTGAGGTTGAACATCCGTCTGCAGGATGGAGCTTCTACTGGTATAAACTTATTAAACAGGAGTCAGGCATGTATCACCCCTACCTCTATTACCCCTATGACTATTACTCCAGACACAGACACTGGATTCATCATAATAGAATTAATCGCCTCTACAAGTATGAATTATTACCTGGAAGCATCAGTGGGACTGCACAGGACTCCTACATCATTCATGGACAGACACACACAGCAGGATATGTGTGCAGAGCTGGAAGAGGAGACCCAGAGTATCACACTGATCCCAGTCAACCAAAGTTTGTCTGGTCTGCAGGTCAGTGTTTTTGCTCCTAATTTAAAAAGGAAAAAAATAAGTGTTATTATTGCATTCACAGTCTTCAATCTATTAATCTCTCAAGAAAAAAATGACAGTTCTTGTTTTTCTCTAGATGTAAATTCAGCAGCCTCTCTCACAGTCAGTCCTAACAGTGTGCAGCACTTCATTTATGATTCAGTATCTCTGAATTGTTCTGGAAACTCTTCTCAGTGGAGAGTTATGATATTTACTCAGGACGGCTATCTGAGAGAACTCCGGGAATGTGGAAACCGGGGGATAATGACTGAATCCACATGCAACATAGATCTTCACTGGTTCCTCCGGTACCAAGATGCTGTGTCCTGGTGTGAGTCTGAATCAGGACTGTTCAGCAATGGAATCAACATCACTGTACCTTGTAGGTCTTTACATCCCTAATTCTAAAGAGTTTGGACGCTGTGTAAATTATAAATTAAGAAAGAAAACAGTGTCTATGTTTAAGCTTTTAAAATGAGAAAGTGTATAATTGCAAGAAATAAGTCATTTTGAATGTGGTGGCAGCAACGCATCACAAAAAAGGGACAGGGCCACATTTACCACTGTGTAGCATCTCCACTTCTTTTAACAACAGTCTTTAAACATCTGGGGACTGTAGAAACCAGTTGCTGGAACTTTGGGAGAGCAATATTATCCCATAGTTTTCTGATAGAGGCTTATAGCTGCTCAACAATCCTGGGTCTTCTTTGTCATTTTGTGATACACAAATTGTTTTCAAATGGTGAAAGACTGGGACTCCAGGCAGCCCAGTTCAGCTTCTGTACTCTTCAAATATGCAAGGCCTTTCATGAAAGAAGTCATCTTGATGAGAGCATATTTTGCTCTAAAATCTCTATATACTTTTCAACATTAATGGTGCCTTTTCAGATGAGCCACAAAACTCATATTCCATAGTCACTAAAGCACCTTAAACCATCAGAGATCCAAACTTTAGAACTGAGCCCTAATAACAGCGTGGATGGTCCTTCTTTTCTTTAGTCCAGTGGATGTGGCATTTATGTCTTTTAAAAAGAATTTCAAATTTGTATTAATGTAAACAAGAAAACAATTTTCTGTGTTATCTTGGTTTCATTCAAATGAGTTTTGGCCAAAACAAGACACTGAATGATGTTCCCACATGGCATCGTATTTGAATGTTAGACCTGTAGCCTGTATTTCTGAATGGCATAGTAACCTTGAAACACTGACTAATCTGCAACATAGAAGTGCAAACAATCAACAGAATACTGTATGTACCACATTAGTTTATATTGCATTAGAGAAAAAAAAATCTATCCTTGCTGCAAGTCATCTTATTACAATGTGTCTACAGCAGAATAGAACATGCATTTATACAATGTTTGACATGTTTCATTATATGGTTCAATATCTACATTTTTGAAATATATTTTCCACATAATTACCAAGAGTTTAGTTTTCCATTAAGTGGCACCAACAGGATTTAAATTCACAGTACAGCCATTGCACACATTGTGCTCATTTCTGAGTTATTTATTTATTTACAAATAAATCCAACACTGCAGAGGATGAAGCAGAAATGTGAGCCCATGATTATAGGTGTGGTAATAGCTTTGTGTCATAACAGAATTCATAATTATGAGACGATGTAGCCAAAAATGCATCTGAAATGCAGCTATAGCTTAAATGATCATGCTGTGGTTAAAAGTGTGAGGAAAAATAACACTAATAAAACACAACAAAGAACAGGATTAGAGCTGTTGATGCCACTGTCTTCATTTACCAAACAAGGATATTTTAATGGCTTTTACAGCTACTGATGTGATCCTGGTGAGCCCTGTCCATCCAGTCAATGAAGGGGACTCTGTTGCTCTTGGCTGCAAGTTGAGGAGAGGGAACTTCAATTCCACTGTTGCATTCTACAAAAATGGGAAACTAATTCAAAATGATGACCGAGAAAAGCTAAATATCCCTGCAGTGTCAAAGTCTGATGAAGGTTTCTACAAGTGTGACTATTCAGGGCATGAGTCACCAGAAAGTTGGATGTCAGTAAAAGGTAAGTGTGAACGATACAGTTGTAGAGAGAAAAGAAATACCCTGTTGTCTCTGTTTCAAAAGATTTAAACAAAAGGCTCATGAAATAAAACCAGCCGGCCAGTAGTGACAGTCTACAAAATCGAAGTGTGAAAATGAAGAAGATTAAAAGGTTAAAAGAAGGTTAAAATGGTCCTGCGCACGTAAAGTATGCAAACCCTTATTTTGAACTAAAACTGCATTTTATAGTTTGTCTTTTTAGCCATTTTTATAGTGTTGATTGTTTAACATCCCAGTCATTACTATGTAACCATTCACAATATTTTTCATCTCCACAGTTTTAAGAGATGACTTTCTGATTTAACAAAACATTTACAGAAATCTTCAGACACGCCAGAAAATGCCTGTCAGGTTCAAAGTGTCCTTTGCCCATGATGTATCCCATTGATTGGGTTATATCATTATAGATTAAGCTAATTTTTATTCTTTATCATTACAGGATCCAGATCTTCACTTTCTGTCTCTCTAATCACGGGGCTGGTTAGTGGTATCTCACTGATTCTCTTGCTGTCCCTGCTGCTCTGTTGTTGGCACAAAAAATCAAAGGGTGATTTTTTTATTTATTTTTTTTTTTTTATTTCCTGTCTTACCTTGCCGTGGTTGCCATGGTATGGACAATTATTGTGTTTATTTGTAATACTCACCCATTTAATATTATTGTTACTGTCTTCTCCATAGGTGCACTTTGTATCAGGTTGGTAAAACACTTTCTTGTCTTGTCTCCAGTAAACAAACACTATGTAACACATTCATTGTAATTTGAACCTGCTTAAAACCTCAGACCAGCCCAGTCTCAGGAAACCAGTCAGGCTGCTGCTACAGTTCAAACTATGAGCCAGGATGAAAATCAGCAGCAAATATATTCCTC